TGAGATGCGGGTTTGGACGTGCAGGTAGAACCAGGGGTCGCTGGCTTCGGAGAAGCGCTGGATGGGGGTCCCCGGGGTGGGAGCGTCGGTCAGTCGACCTGTGATGACCGCGCCGTGGGATTTGGAGAACATGATGCCGTCGAGATAGTCCAGGTCGTTCGAGGGCGTTGCAAGTTCTTGTAATTTGGCCATAGCTTCCGGCATACCGTTCGATATTGGGTGGTACGTTGTCTCGACGAACTTTTTGGCTTTGCGCAGGCGAAGCTTGACCAAAGTGGTCACTCCCAGTGTGCCAACGGCTCCAGCAGCGCCGTGGAAGAGATGCGGATGCTCCGTCTCTGAGCATACCAGAACCTCACCGTTTGCGAGAACCATCTCCACTTGTTCCAGCGTGCGATCGAAAAAGCCGTGGCGAAACGAGCTGGATTCTCCCGATGTGCCGGCGTAACCTGTGATCGTCAGTCAGAGCCCAAGAACACGCATAGCGGATCCATTGAGCTTACCGCCACCAGCTGTGATGCCAGGGAACTCCATAACCACCGGTGGGATGAGGCCATGTTTCAACGTCTCCTCAATCAGGCGGTCCATGGGCACGTTCGGTTGGACGAGGGCATACGGTTGTTCCGCATTGGCATTGACGAGCAAGACCTTGTTCAAACGGCTCGTGTCTACCACTTTCCTCGGGTCTCTGCCTACTGCCGATTTGCGAGTGCTGTTGGTCGAGCCATGGTAGATTCTGAACTTCTCGCCGCGGTCGTAAAAGCTGCGCACCGCTGCGGCCACCTTTTCCACTTCCCTGTTGTGGTCGTCAATCACCTCTGCAGTGTACCCATCTACACGTTGCTCTTCCGTCCACCGCTGCGTGCACTGCATTCTGCTACTAGATTGCTGACTAGCCATAGCAACAAGACGGGCAACGCAATATGTTTTCACAAGGGCTGGGGTTGATAACTCGGTAATAGACAAGACGACGTGTCAAAGTTGTAACGATAAAAAACGAGTGACTTCCAAGGTGCGTGTGTATGGTCTGGTCATGGCGTTGATGATTGAAACTTCCAGGTTCCCGTCTGTCTGTACATGTAGTACATGTAGGTACTGCTCTTCTTGGCTTCCGATCCCCACGCTCACTTCCTGTACTGAGCGTCTACAATGGCCGGCCTCAATCTGCTTCGATGGTTGAGACCATCTGCGAACGAAAACAAAATGTGTCCGGTCAAGGAGCAAAAGAGATTGTGTTGTTCTGGTCACTACGAGCTATGAAGAGGTTAGTATCCGTTGATCACAGGGTTGGTGACGTTCATGTACGTACGGTCGAACTCGCGACCTTGGCGTCTCATATGAATATTAGCACCACGCTCTAACCAACTGAGCTAAGCGACCGTAGGAATATTTGCCGCTCGTGTGCTCTATATCACTAGAATTCAATTGCGAAGGTGTACTCGAGACGTGAACGATCATCCTGATTCAGACGCGTGCAAGGCACGCCGCGAGATCCTTTCCACTGCTGCGCCGAAAAGAATGCGTGGAAACGGTCATACTTCTCGTTGACGCGCACCTGCAGCTTCCAAGCCGCTGTTGATTCCGAGTTTCCGACAACGTGGCAATCCTTTGCGGGGGCAACGTGGTTGTGTGTATTGCCGATCACCAGAACGCGTCGAGGAGAACAAAGCTCGCATCGAGCGAATGCAGGTCCCGATCTGTCGAAGATGATGTCGTCGTGCGGGAACACGAGGGTCAGAAGTGGATGCTGTCCTCCGACTCGGGGAGCGGGACTGGCGGAACGGGGTGGGTTATGCAGTGACTATTGATTGATCAAGGCGAGGACTCCGGTCAAAGGTCTGCGGTGACCGTCGCGTGTTGTTTGGAGGTTAGATGTCGTAGCTGCGTTGCCATTATTGACGTCTTCATGTCCAGTGCATGAAGCGTACATGTATGGAGCCATGATTGGAGAGTGACAGCAGGTCGGGTAAACACACGCTCTCATCAACGAACTCGAACCCGTCGAACACAGACTGCCACTTTAGGAAGCTCCGTGGGTGCCGTTGCAGCCGGGAGGAGCTCCGCGTGGTCCACCTCCACATCCACCTCCACCACCTGGACTCCCGGAGTCAACACAACACCTCTCCGCAACTTCTCACTTTGCCACTGCACACTCCACCCGTATTGTTCTTTCCATTCCACCCTCACACTCGCTTGCCCCTCATCCTCACGCGACTTCATCTTACACCTTATTCATCAACGTCGCCCAATAGTTTCAGAAGAGCGGCTAGCGTCTCGGCGGCTTGGTGCACCCGCGACTCCTTACTTGCCGAGAGCATTGGCGTCTGGGCCAAACACGCCCCCGTCGTACAGCTCGCCATTAGCCTCTCATAGCAGCAACAAAGATACGATCATCACTGTAACAGCGCCGCGCGCCACCGCGTCCCGGCATATTATACGCGGCTACACCCTAGACCGTGCCGACCTTCGAACGAACCGGAGCCACGACTGAAACAGCATCTACAACCTCACAATGGATACTTGGCAGGCTGCACAGAGCTGGATACTCTTCACAGGCGTTGTGGGCAGTCTGGGAGCCTACTATTACTACTCGCAATGTGGAACGGGCTCGGCGGCCAAACCCCGTCTGGAGCGGCGGGCTATTGCGGCGGACTCCCGTGGCCGGAAGCAGTCAGTCGAGCGCGTCGATCGCGACACGAAGGGCAATTCGAAGAAGACTGCAGACGGCAAGGACCAGGGCAAGAAACGGAAGGTGGCCAAGCCGGAGCCAGTGCAGTCACAACCTGCCCCCGAGATAATTGTGCAGCAAGATGGGCGCGAGGAGAAGGAGGACATGAGCAACAAGAAGTTCGCCGAGCAGATGTCCAAGGCGAGGAAAGGGGCCGATTTCTCCGGGCCGAAGGGCAAGGAGAACCGCATCAAGACTGTAAAGCAGAGGAGTGCAATGGACGCACCGGTGCTCTCCTCCGGCTCCTCGCAGGCTGGTGTTGACGCAGATGACGACATGTCGCCAGCCGCTTCTCCCGCGCTCCCTGCCGGTGACGTCTCCGATATGCTGGAGCCGACCGCCAAGGGCCCGTCTGTGCTCCGTCTGACTGCGCCATCCCAACCGGCGAAGCCGAAGGTCGTGAGGCAGTCTAAGGAAGAGGAGGTTGAGACCAAGAAGCAGCGCCAAAACAGGATGAAGAAGGAGCAGCAGAGGGCAGAGCGGGGAGAGGATGAGAAAGCGCGCAAGGCGCTCGAGGAGAAGCAACGCCGTACAGCACGAGAGGCACGTGGCGAGCCCGCGAAGAACGGCATCCCGGTCTCAAAGCCACCAACCA